TATTTTTTTTTTTTTTATTCAATCTTGCAACAGGTTGCGGTAAACTAATAGTCATTTATAAAACTTTTCCATAATGCAAAATAGCTTTGGCCGTTATATTCCACTGCAAAACGACCACAACAAGAGGTGAGCAATCATCCTCTGGGAATGCCGCGGCGCTTTTTCAATGGTTTACACTGTAAGTTCCTTGTGATTTATAGGTATCGCGTGCGCTCCCCTCCGTGCAACAGAGCGGGGGAGCTCTCACTGTCTGTGACGTGCTTTGAACTGGGCAGATAAGTTGTCTGAAGTATTGCTGCGACAGGGAACCTTTACTGCGGTGTGCATCGTGTTTCAGTATGCTTCCTGCTTGTAAAGAGATCTGTTTACAAGGTGCTGTAAACACTCTGTTTACTGCTAAGCCAAGGTGGCTTTTCACCGTGGAGCGGATTATTGTGCCTCTGCACTCACATGGTTATTTTTGTATTCACTCAATAAAAGGGGCCCTGGGAAGGGCATATCTTGTTGCAGTTCTGTTTTCATTGCTCTCCCTGCCAGTTTAGAAGCAAAAATGAGGGATTTGGGGTTTGCACAAACTAGCTCTGCTTTAATATTCCAAGTACAGAGGCTTTGAAGACAGCACTGGAAGTGTGGGCGTGTGACAGATGATGTTTATGATTTTTTCAAGGTTGGACTTCTGTTCTTTGAGACCAGAACACTGCAAAGTCTTCCAGGTATGTGGATTCACTCACCTTAGCATAGTTTATTAATTTTCATGCATAGACCATCACACTTTTTTTTTCCTCCCCTTTTTTCTGTTTTTCATCCTTTGCAGTACTAGCTCAGAGTTGCTAGTAATTGGAATCCCTATTGCACACAAACACACACACCCCAGCTGACCTCCTGCTAAGATGTGCAGTTGCGAGAGAACAGAAAACACTTAATTCTTGGCAAGTATTCTGTGCTGATTAATGTGTTTTATTTGAGTGAAACACAGATATAAATAGCAAAAGACTGGATTAAGGTGCTTTGTGTGTGTGTGTATTTATATATGTGTAACATATATACATATTAATCAGATTTGGTAGCCTTTATTTCTCTGAATGTGTTTGCTTTTTTTCTACTTTAAGATGTGGAATCAGTTGGTTTTGGTTCAGTTATTTATCTCAAAGCTGTCAGTGGTTCAGAATTTGGGTGGAGATTTACCCTGGTGGAAGCTCCGTTGTAGGTTTCTAGTTCATTCTCAAGCAGAAAGTGCTAAAAAGCCTGCTGCAAAAAAGCATAAGCAGAAGAAATGGGTGGGAGGTAGTTTTCTGAATCTTTCCCAATTTAAAGGGCTGCTTTTTATCACTTTTTTCGTTTGGGAGACAGCGTTTTAGGAAATGGAGTAGGGGGAATGTAGCTGAAAAGGGAAGAGATGGCTTTAAAAGTGAGCTCACCTAGTTGTCCTTGTTGAGTTGTGTTTTTTGGTGCTCTTGCACTGGCCGCATCCACGTGCCTACAGCTTGGAGCATCTTTGCAGGTGAAAGGATAGGGTGGTTTTGTGAGCCTCTCTTCTCAGAAGACTTGGAAGGGTAAACCACAAAATTCACATCATTTTTTTTTCCTGGAAAAAACATTTGTGGGGACTGAAAATATATATTAATATTTATTTATTGTCCTGTAAGGCTGTTCTGGCATTGGTCCCTGTTCTCTGTGGCGGAGAATCGAGCCTTGGCTTGTCCAGTTTTCCGGGAGCTGCAGTACCCGATGTGGGAGGAACATCCCTGCGAGCCGCTGGCCAAGGAGCCCCGTCAGGCCGCCGCTGCCCTGCGACCACGAAGCCCGGAGACCCACGGGTGCGTTACAATGTCAGGTGTCACCTCCATGGCATCACTGCAGCAGGTGAGGCGCTACCTGCAGACCTGGGCACGTGCTCTTTGCTCTCCGCTCCAGATACTGAGATAAGAGCTGACTCCTCGAGTCCCTGCTGTCTGCCAGGAGATGGGTGTTACCTCGGGTTCAGCTCATTTCTCCCTCCTCAATTAGGGGTCTCAGATAAACGTGTGTAGGTGGGGTGGAACTGGGCAAGTGCTCTGCTTGTGCACACTCTCCTGTCTGTGATTCTGTGAATTCCTCCCTGTAGGAAATGCCTTTCTGGGAGAAGCCTCAATGCTGCAGCTCCTCTGCGAGTGCTCCACAGTAACTCTCTAAAGTTATCATTCCTGATTGCTTATCCTTGAAACAGGAAACTTTTGTATGAAGTCTCCACGAATTTAGCCTTATTTCTTTGGGTCTCCATGGATTTCTACATAGCAGAAGACCAAAATTTGGACGTGAGGTTCTGCGGAATTGAGCAGAAGTTTGTGAAATGGCAATGGTTTGTACTTTCCTTTCTGAGGCAGTATCAGGTGATACCAATGCTGAGATTTTGGGGAGAGGAGAGGTAAAAGGTGCATTACTTCAAAGCAAACCCAACCATTTGTTTAAAACATCTTCCAAAATGTGTGTGTGGTTTTTTACACTTAAAAAAAAAAAAAAAAAAAAGCTTCAGGAATGATTTGAGTTTGTATGATGTAATTATTTACCTGGTCTAGGGTTACAACTCTGTTTGCAAGAGTCTTAAGGAGTTTCTCATGGATCCAGTGAGAACATTGCAACTGCATCACAGCTAAAAGAAACCACCACCATAAATATCTTTGTGGCTTCTCGACAGGTCCTTACAGGAAGGTGAGTGCTCATGAGAAGCTTGTTGCAGTTCTCACAGCCCACTGTATGTTTACAACTAGGTCTCCCGTGCACATACTGGCACAGCCTGTCTTTTTTGGTTCTTATTTGCATTACCACACTTCCCGAGGTGGGTTACTGCCTCAGCACAAACTGAATTTTTCGGTGCAAGGCTGAGCAGCAGCCCATATCCTGCTTCTCAGGGCATTTCTGCACACAGGGCAGAGATCCTCACGCTTACCGCAGTGATGGGCTTTCAAGTGCAGTGCCAGCTGGAGAAATCCTAAGCAGGCAAATGATGGCAAATCTGCATTTCTTGCTCTGTTGTTGCCATGGTTAATAGCTTGTAAGAAATGCAAGGAAAAGCAATCACTTTGAAAGTTCCTTCGCTGAGGAGAAACGGGAGGGGATGGATTTATTCAGCTGATGGGGAAAATGCTCACATTTAGAGGTGACCATTCATAGATTGCTTAATAGTGTGGTCAATATTTAACAGAATTCCAGAGTTAATCATAAACTCTGCTGCATAGCCTTGAGACTTCATCTGCTGCTAGTGATTAGAAGGTGACAATTGTCAAAAGTGTCCAAAAAAAGGGAGACACAAAATCCCAAAGTTATTCTCTAATTTCTACCATGTGCCTACCCTTGCTGCAGACATATTTCTGAGCAACTTCACTCACTCTCAATCAATGCAGCTAAGCCTAAGGGTCAGGGCCAGCAGGGCCTTACAGATATTTCCCTCCAAATATTGCTCCTATTGCTTATGAACAGAAATACAAGGGGGAGGGAGGTATTTTTTTTCCTGAGAAGTAATAAGCGAGTCTTGTTTTGACCCTTTTGTGACTTGTTTTCCCTTAAGGATTATGTTGCTGTCTTAACTTTTCTTCATTTCTGCTGTTTTCCACCTTCAGAAGCGATAGATTTACGTGCTCATGGATTAGCGGCTCCAGCGCCTGTGCTCG